AAGAAAATTAGCACAGTGTGGTCTAGGCTTTAGTTCATTCTGTGAGCTGGTCAGGGAACGAAAATATCCACTATTAGTTTTCATCATTTTTGTATACAGACCCTAACTTTTATGTTAGAAACCTTAAAACTTTATTAACATTAACAAAACTAGGTGTCAGGCACTGGTTCTAGGCCATTAATTATTGACATAACAAAGCTGGGAATATGGAGATTTTACAATTCTCAGTTCTATGTTGTCTAAATCAGAACTTGGTATCGTGGGATAATCCAAGCATCACCCCCCCCCCCCCCCCCCCACCCCCCCCCGCCCCCCCCCCCCCCCCTTGAACAAAAAATTAAGAGTGACAAAAATCATATCTATAAAAAATTTACTGGTATACCTTTTTAGCTGGACTGGAGTATCTAAATGATTAATACACTTTACGTGTGCAATAGGTGGAATGCTAACATATCATCCCTATTACATGTACCCAGGCGGGGGAAATTTCAGTATGGAAACAATTTTAGCGTTTGTTTCGCATTAACCAGCATGAAAATCTAATGTACCCAGGCGGCAAATTTCTGTGATGGAAAACAATAGGTTGTGTATGAGAGAAAGAGTGAAAGAAGAGGGAGAGAGAGAGATGAACGTGTGGCTAGCCTGAGGTGTCAGCACTGGTTCTAGCATTAATTAATTTGAATAAACAAAGCTGGGGAGATGAGAGTTTAAACTTCTCAGTTCATTGCTTGTCTATCAGAACTTTGGATTCGGTGGGATAATCAAGCAGTCATGAACAAAAATATATCTAATAAAATTACTGTAGTACCTTTGCTGGACTGGATCGAGTAATCTAAATGATTAATACACTTTAGTGTGCAATATAGGTGGAATATTGCAATTCATCCTATTACACTGAAGTACCCAGGCGGGAAATTTCATGTATTGGAAAAACAAATAGCGTTTGTTGTCCAATTTTAACCAGCCGGGGATTGAAAATCTAATTGTTACCCAGGCGGGAAATTTCTGTATGGAAACAATAGCGTTTGTGTATGAGAGAAGAGTGAGAGAGAGAGAGGAGAGAGAGAAAGTGTGGCTAGCCTTGGCGTGTTCAGCACTGCGTCTAGGCATTAATTATTGAATAAAAACAAAGCTGGGAATGAGATTTAAAACTTCTCAGTTCATTGTTTGTCTAAATACAGAACTTTGGATTTCGGTGCGATAATCAAGCAGTCAATGAACAAAAAATATATCTATAAAAATATACTGTAGTACCTTTTAGCTGCGACTGGATCGACGTCAATCTAAATGATTATACACTTTAGTGGTGCAATAATGGTGGAATTGTAATTACATCCTTATTACATTGTACCCAGGCGGGGAAATTTCATTATGGAAACAATAGCGTTTGGCTTGTCCAATTAACCAGCATGAAAATCTAATTGCTACCACAGGCTCGGCGGAAATTATCATGTTATGGAAACAAATAGCGTTTGTGTTATGAGAGAAAGAGTGAGAAGAGAGAGAGAGAGAGAACGTGTTGGCTAGCTGAGGCTGTCAGCACTGGTTCTAGGCATTAATTATTTGAATAAACAATAGCTGGGGAATGAGAGTTTTAAACTTCTCAGTTTCTTGTTGTCTAACATCAGAACTTTGGATTCGGTTGGCGATAAATTCAAGCAGTCAATGAAACAAAAATATATCTATAAAAATATACTGTAGTACCTTTAGCTGGGACTGGATCGAGTAATCTAAATGATTAATACACTTTAGTTGTGCATAACGGTGGGAATTGCTAAATTCATCCCTATGTACATGTACCAGGCGGGAAAATTTCTATGTATGGAAACAATACGCGTTTGTTGTCAATTAACCAGCATGAAAATCTAATGTACCCAGGCGGAAATTTCAATGTATCGGAAACCAATTTAGCGTTTGTGTATGAGAGAAAGAGTGAGAGGCAGAGAGAGCAGAGTTAGAGAACGTGTGGCTAGCCTGAGGTGTCAGCACTGGTTCTAGGCAATTAATTATTGAATAAACAAAGTAGGGAATGAGAGTTTAAACTTCTCAGTTCAGTTGTTTTTGTCTAAATCAGAACTTTTGGATTCGGTGGGATAATCAAAGCAGTCCATGAACAACAAAAAGTATATCTATAAAAATATACTGTAGTACCTTTAGCTGGACTGGACCGAGTAATTAAATGATTAATACACTTTAGTGTGCGCAATAAGGTGAATGCCTAATTCATCCCTATTACATGTACCCAGCGCTTGGGAAATTTTCATGTATGGAAAACAATAGCGTTTGTTGTCCAATTAACCAGCATGAAAATCTAATGTACTCAGGCGGGAAATTTCATGTATGGGAAACATAGCTGTTTGTGTATGAGAGAAGAGTGAGAGAGAAGACGAGAGAAGAACGTATTGGGCTAGCTGAGGTGTCAGCACTGCGTTCTAGGCATTAATATAATTGAATAATCAAAGCTGGGAATGAGAGTTTAAACTTCTCAGTTCATTGTTGTCTAAATCAGAACTTTGGATTCGGTGGGATTAATCAAGCAGATCCATGAACAAAAAATATTATCTAATAAAAATAATAGCTGTAGTACCTGTAGCTGGACTGGGACGATGTAGATCTAATGATTATCACTTTAGTGTGCAAGTGAGGTGGGGAATTGCCCTAATTCATCCCTATTTTAACATGTACCAGGCGGGAAATTTCATGTATGGAAACAATAGCGCTTTTGTTGGTCAATTAACCAGCCATGAAAATACTAATTACCCAGGGCGGAAAATTTCATGTATGGATACAATTAGCGTTTGTGTATGAGAGAAAAGTGAGAAGAGAGAGAGATAGAAGTGTGGCTAGCTGAGGTGTCAGCGACTGAGTTCTAGGCATTAATTAATTGAATAAACAAAGCTGGGGAATGAGAGTTTAAACTTCTCAGTTTCATTGTTGTCTAAATCAGAACTTTTGGATTCGGTGGCGATAAATCAAGCAGTCATGAACAAAAATATATCTATAAAAATATACTGTAGTACACTTTAGCTGGACTTTGGATCGAGTACTCTAAATGATTAATACATTTAGTGTGCAATAAGGTGGAATTGCTAATTTCATCCCTATTACATAGTACCCAGGCGGGAAATTTCAGTATGGAAACAATAGCGTCTTTGTTGTCCAATTTAACCAGCATGAAAATCTATGTACCCAGCGGGAATTTCGATGTATGGAACAATAGCGTTATGATGTATGAAGAAAAAGAGATGAGAGGAGAAGAGAGAGAGAGAGAACGTGTGGCCTAGCCTGAGGGCTGTCAGACTGCGTTCTAGCATTAATATTGAATAAACAAAGCTGGGAATGAGAGTTTAAACTATCTCAGTTCATTGTTTGCTCTAATCAGAACTTTGGATTTCGGTGGGATAATCAAGCAGTCATGAACAAAATATATTATAAATTACTGTAGTTACCTTTAGCTGGACTGGCATCGAGTATCTAAATGGATTAATACACTTTAGTGTGCAATAAGGTGAATGCTAATTTCTCCCTATTTACATGTACCCAGGCCCCCCCCCCCCCGGGAAATTTCATGTATGGCAAATCAATAGCGTTTTGTTGTCAATTAACAGCATGAAAATCTTATAGTACCCATGCGAGGAAATTTCATGTAATGGAAACAATAGGTTTGTGTATGAGAGAAAGAGGTGAGAGAGAGAGAGCAGAGAGAGAACGTGTGGCTAGCCTGAAGGTGTCAGCACTTTGCGTTCTAGGCATTAATTATTTGAATAAAACAAAGCTGGCGCGAATGAGAGTTTAAAACTTCTCAGTCTCATGTTGTCTAAATCAGAACTTTTAGCGTTTCGGTGGATAATCAAGCAGTCACGAAACAAAAATATAATCTATAAAATATACTGTTAGCCTACCTTTAGATGGACTGCGAGTAATCTAAATGATTAATACACTTTAGGTGTGCAATTAAGGTGGAAATTGCTAATTTCATCCCTATTACAGGTACCCAGGCGGCGAAATTTGCAACTGCTTATGCGAAACAATAGCCGTTTGTGTGTCCAATTAACCAGCCATGAAAAATCTAATGTACCCAGGCGGGAAATTTTCAATGCTATGGAAACAATAGCGTTTGTGTATAGAGAAGAGTGAGAGAGAGAGAGAAGTGTGGCTAGCCTGGGGTCAGCACTGGTTCAGGCATTAATTAATTGAAATAAACAAAGCTGGGGAATGAGAGTTTTACACCTTCCAGGTTCATTGTTGTCTAAATGCAGGAACTTTGGTTTCTGTTGGATAATCAAGCAAAGTTCATGAACAAAAATATATCTATAAAAATATACTGTAGTACTTTAGGCTGGGACTGGTAAGTAATCTAAATGATTAATACACTTTAGTGTGCAATAAGGTGGAATTGCTAATTCATCCCTATTACATGTACCCAGGCGGGAAATTTCATGTATGGAAACAAATAGCGTTGTTGTCAATTAACCAGCGCATGAAAATCTAATGTACCCATGGCGAGAGAAATTTCATGTATGGAAACAATAAGCGTTTGTGTATGAGAGAAAAGAGTGAGAGAGAGAGAGAGAGAGAGAGAGAACGTGTGGCTAGCCTGAGGTGTCAGCACTGGTTCTAGGCATTAATTATTGAATAAACAAAGCTGGGGAATGAGAGTTTACACCTTCCAGTTCATTGTTGTCTAAATCAGAACTTTGGTTTCTGTGGGATAATCAGTCATGAACAAAAATATATCTATAAAAATATACTGTAGTGAACGTACTACCTTTAGCTGGACTGGCGCGATCTGGAGAGTGTGATTGAACAGCTCCAAGCTCTGATTTATGACCCATAACAATATAAATAGCGATATGTTATGTTCCTATATTCATGCTTTATTGACCACAGCCTGCTATGTGTTAAATCTAAGTACCATATATATATATATACACAATACATACACAGGTAAAATATCAGTAATTATAATTAGTTTCACGAAAAAGGGAGTAATATTTACCTGCAATTTCTATCACCTTCCCAGTGTGCGTTTTTCCCTGCAGCACGCATGTTGCTTGCTCTCCAACGGCTATTTTCTTGAATCGAACTGCCCTGTCAGTCGACAAGACGTCCGTAAAACCATCTGTCCACTGGACACGAACCCATACTGAAACACAATTTCTTAATTATTATTCATCTTTGTATATATATGTTATATATATGTATATCATATTGTTCAATCGCAATGCAATATATTTGAGCATGACCAGTGTGCCAAATGTTTATATTAGAAAATTTGAAACTGCAAATCCAACTAGGATATGTTTCCCTATCTGGAACATTTAATATCAACATAATATGGTCTTCAGGACTTTGTACAGATATATTTATACAGATACATAATACATTCATGTAAGTCTACCATGCTGATAGGGTCTATGTCTCCCTAACCTACTATACATGTAAAACAATGATCAATATACGTACAAGTACTAATTTCATAAATTACCTTTTCCAACTCGTGCAGGTCGTGTAGACATATCAGTGTATTATAGAGGAGCTCCAATAATGTATGTACGTGTCAAGAAAGCAGTTGTGTAGAAGTGAGCTAGGTTCATGAATGCTGCTAAAAGCTTCCCAAACTGTTCTGGTCTACTGGTCACCAACCAGAGGGTTGACAGCATTGGTTAAACTGCTTGATAGTAGACCCATGCACCTTCTCTTTCTATTGTCATCCATCCAGCACATTCGTCCAACCAGCTAGCTGATCACTAACTCCCATCTAGTCTAATTCCCATTGGTTGGGCAAGGAACACACCACATTTTTCTGGTCTACTGACAGCAACATTAATTTATGTTTTATTTTTTTTACTGGGATGATCCTCACAGCACACCTAAACATAAAAAATTTAAATAAGGTTACTAATTAAAACAGTTCCGCAATATTTATATTCACTAACAATCCTAAGACGATATGCTAGTGTCACCAAATTAGGTTCCACATAGCTAGCACAGTATAAAAGCAAGAAAAGTTGGTATTACAGTTTAATTACTGGATGACTTGAAATAATATAATTGCTATATAACATCAAGTTCACAAAGTCATGGTGCATATCATACAATAAGTAAACTGATTTAGTATGTTACTTACAGAGGATCTGGTAGTGTGATTGATTGTACTCCACAACTGATCACTTGTAGTGACTCTCCGAAGTCCTGAATGGCTTTAGCTGCTGATCTGTAGTAACCGGGTATCCCATTAACCTCTACATCATGGGTCACAGCATACACGTTTATGTCCTGTGCAGACAGTTGCATAAACCGCAAAATCTTTGCGATACCGTACTCGGTCTCCACGTAGTAGCTGCATCTGTAAATAATGTCCAAAAAAATTGAAGAGATCAGCTAGTGCATGGCCTAAACGCATTCATCAAGTAATAACAATAATTTGTACAAAACATGTAGGACTATGCTATATAGTCAGCTGCTAGCTGTCCTAGAGTTACACCGACTTTCCACAGCTAATATAATGTTTGCATTTTAACTTTAGAGACATGTTGTGCATTAGTTATAAAACATTCTTTAGCAGGTTAGACTCATATGCACAGTAGATAGATACAGTATGTTGTTTTTATGTTATATCACAAGCAATCTACCTTTTCGTGACTCTTGGCGACTCAGCACTGTAGAATCTCTCACCGTTGAGTTTTATGCTTGTGAAGGTGATGACCTTAGCAAGTGGGTTTATTGGTAGACCTGCTTCCAACAATGCCTGTCTAATAGCACCTGGCACTATGACAGTCCTTCTCCTTGATGGCACATGGATGTCACTTGACAGTTTCTGAAACCTAAAAAATGATATTGCTCTTAGCGTAAGATATGTGTTATAAGAATTTTGATGCTGTCATGCTGTCTAGCCTCGCTGTAGGTATCTCGTAGTGTGAGAAAGAGGGAACCATACAAGATTACAGCATGCAAAATCCCAGATTTACTCCTTGTCAATTGAAATAGAGATCTAGCAACAGACAATGGCATAAAACCAAATAGTACTTACACATGTTTCGAGTCTGTTTCTGTAGTCATCAATTTCGATTTCTGCATATCAAGGAATGCACACACCATCTGCAATTGTGTAATTTCAAAAGAGTAAATATAATGAATTTAGCAGCGTATACAAAATTATATATATGCGAAATTTAGATGTTAGATTCATGTTTAGAGTTTCTTATGTAGAGAACAGCTTGCTTTGTGAAAGGCACAAGATTATGAAATAGATGTTGCGTTTCATGTCACCTACAGGATAGTAGTCATTGTATAAAGCCTGGTGCACATGTGAGTAATTTTACTCAAGTAAAATGATGCATGTGTCAAAATACTCACGTGTGCGGCGGATTTTTGTTGAGTATTTTGACGCATACTTCATTTTACTTGAGTAAAATTACTCAGGTGTGCGCAGGGCTTAAGGGATGCTAGCAGACAATAGATGAAGACAGACCTACTAAAATCACTAAACAAATACCCTATTATAGCATCTATGCATGTAACAATACATGCTGTACACAAAAATGCTAACAATGAGGTCAAAGCTGTTATTGCTATATTCACTTGTCTCTGTCTTTTGCTCTTCTGTCTGCCTATTACCCTCTTCCTCCTTCCTCCCACTCCTTGATCTGCCAAACATCTCTCCTCCTCCCCCCCCCCTCATATTCCTCCTACTACTCTATTACTCACCCTTTCTTCATAAATTATCACTCTGCTCTATCCGTATACTCCCATTCTCCCATGCAACTCCCACAGTAATATACAAAGCTAGCATTACAAGCTGGATGCATTTATCTCTGACCATACTTTATTTAGTATTGTCGAAAACAAAGTCATGGAATCCAAGTCACAGTCACAGAGTTAATTCTAAATACCTCAAATCCAACATTGCGAGATCCTCTAATCATCTTCACCAGCTGACCCAAATTACTCTCCATTGGGAAGGTGGATGTTGCCCAAAGAGGCCCGGCTAGTCGAACACAGCTGACTAGATGATGGCTTGTGACGTGCACATTCATGGTACAGTTCTCCAGCCCTGAAAATTCAATTTTATTCCAGATTTTATGTAAATATACACATTGAGAAACTTGTCAGATGTAAAGATAACACAACCTAGAATGATTAAAAGAATAAATTGCCTAAGCTACTATAAAATATATTTGCTATATATTTCAATTATTGCACAACAATCTGCACAGATTATACACATGTATAGACAAATTAAAATATCATAACTTCCATCTACAAAAATTATAATTAATGGAGCTGCACAATACACATACAAGTTATTGAAAATGGATGTCAGAAACAAATGTATAAATATTTCCAGAAAGGAGTCAAATGGAATATATCTCCAGATAATTTAATTTATTGTTCAGTATTAAATTAACCTAACAGATTTTGTGTCTGTTCTGTGCCTACAGTCACCTCATCATCTATATACTCACCATAGAGTTCCTTATGTAGGAAATAAAATTTCCCTAAGAGTCTATCGGCAGTTGTCAAGTCATCTGGGGTGATGCAGTCTTTTGACAGCAATCTGATGCTAGCCGAAAGAAATCCAAAGTGTATCAGGTAGTCTGTTGGCAAGATTCCTTCCAGCACGAAGACTCCATAATACAGGAGAAAGTTTCTGTACTCAGAACCTAGAAGAAATTTGCAGTATGTATAATTTATAAAACATATTATTTAGAAGCACTAGTCAAACTTTATATAATGAGTAATTAGATGACAGTAAATGGGTAAAATGTTATTACGTTTACTCAAATATATGATTATATGATACAGCAGCAATGTTTGACAGCACATTAATGAAAATATATATTTGAATTAAAGCAAGATAAAAAAAACTACCTAAGAGCTCCTAACGTTACCTATAGGCATGAGACAGATTCTTATCAAGTTATATTATCACATTGCAATTGCCTCACCTTTCCAGTGTGCTCTCTCACTAAGACTTCTCGGAGTACGACTGATGACGTCTGGCGGTCTGATTGTGGTTAAGCGGGTGCTTACTTCATCCACCATGTTGCCAATCCAGTATGCATATGCTTCGACTTGCCAAACCATAGTGTAAAAAGCTGCTTCATGACACCAAGGCATACCGCATGTAGATAATCCACTACAACATCTTTGTGCTGGTCACACTGCTGAATTTCAAACAGCATGCCGTAGCCCTTTGATGCCCATGACCTGTTTAAAAGCGTTTTGTTAACATATAGGCCTATTATAATTATGAAATAATTTATATTACAATTTCGTTTACTGATAACTTTTATTAAAGAATTAATTCATAATCCCTGATTAAAATGTTAGTCGTTTTATACGTTCTATATATCTCTATTTTGTAGTGGAATCCGTCTAACGCATGAGAAGTTGTGGTAATTATAATTATGATGAAAATCAACTTACAGGATGGTGGGTTTCTAGAGCGTGCTTTGCCTGTTGAATCATCCTCTCTGATGTTCTTAGCTGATGCTGTCCAGGAGCGTATGCTCTTACATGACCAGCACCCTTCTTTACCACGGTGCCTGGGTGCTCCACACACGCCACAGCCATGTTCACCATTGAACTGTGTCATCTCCTGGTCAAACACATGGCAAGCAGATCCATTGTGGCAACTATAGGATATACTTTCACTACCCTTGTGTCAGTTTCTCCATATGGCTGCACTTCAAAACCTGTGTGCGGAACATAGTAAAACTATGTTAACTGTCTATCTAATAGATTGGTTAATTCGGTTGCCTGTTATATATAAAAGACAATTCATTTACTAGTTGAATGGTTACTGGTATAATTATAATGATGGCGCTTGAGACAGTAATGTATTCAGGAATAATCTCACTACGTAGAAAAAGTACACCCCATTTATGACCCGCATAGGATTAAAGTATATAAGGTATTCCTTATAGGGAGGTGACTGGATATAGATGAAGATCATGGATAGCTAAAAATACCGAAGCTTACCATGTGTTGGCAAGGTTGTTCATGGCACGTGTGATTGGTTCCATCAGACTGGTCATGGTTGGTTTTTTTTTTGCTGCACCAACACCCAACATCAGAATGGCTGTTTCTGAAACCTATAATA